CCCATTTTTTACGCGATTTCCTGCTAAATGGCTGGAGCAACAAAATTCGGATTAGAGCAACTAATTAGCAACAAAATAGCACTAAATTTTTGACTAGGTCCGAACTTAATTTGCGATGGTGGGGGATCCAGCTTAATAGAGGTGGTTGTTACTAAATATTGTACCAAAACATAAAGAATAATTAATGTATATAGATTTAAATTTTTATTGTCCTTGAAATATTTCATCATCATTTTAGTATTACTGTGCCTTACGAATGTATTGTGCTGCATTTTGGTGAATATTTTATAGTAAACGTTTTTAATTCTTAATTTATCTTCCAATTTACATAAATTTAACATTTTTCCGTTATTGAAGTTATAACAAAAGTATTTGCTCTTAGATACCTCAAAAACCTATAACTCTTAACGGCTAATAAATTGTCAAAGCTTCTACTGCTGCTACCTTTATTATTCCCGTTTTGCTAAACGGTGTCGTCACAGATCTTGGCTACCAACGTGAAGTTGGTGTTAACGATCCATGATTATATAGTCAAAGGTATTATCAAACACTCTCTTTTCTATTTATTATCTTTTCCTTAGGTATACAGAATAAAAAATCTTTTTCAAAACAAGACAAAATACACAAATAATGTGAAGAAGTACAAAACAATATGAAAAATTCTTATAAGAAAATACCAGCCGAACTTCGTGGTATCTATTTTATCGATTGAACGTGATTTATACACATACAATTTACAAAACATTGACATATCCTTATACATACTCTACTATACAGGGTGTCCCAAAATTGGCGCATTCGGAATACAGGACGTGATACTTTGTGTTAAAAGGAACAACTTTTTCCTTTAGCAAATTTTGATCTGACAAGTAATTTTGGCAGGAGAGCTGGTTAAAGTTAACGAATAATCGCTCTTGTCCTTGCGGCGTTCAGGGCCGGCACGCGCTTCTCCATTTACTTGTTCCTAATCCTTGGCTAATATTTACAAGTAATGTCTTAAGATACTAATACGACTCTGTTATAATTAGTTTACGACATTTTAAGACTGTGTTTAAGACAGTAAATATTAAGAATCAATTATAAATATAATTATTATCAATTATTAATATTTAAGACTGTCTTAAACACAGTCTTAAAATGTCGTAAACTAATTATAACAGAGCTGTATTAGTATCTTAAGACATTACTTGTAAATATTAGTCGAGGATTAGGAACAAGTGAATGGAGGAGCGCGCGCTAGCCCTGAGTGCCGCATGGACAAGAGCGATTATTCGTTAACTTTAACCAGCTCTCCTGCCAAAATTACTTGTCAAATCAAAATTTGCTAAAGGAAAAAGTTATTCTTTTTAGCACAAAGTATCACGTCTTGTATTCCGAATGCGCCAATTTTGGGACACCCTGTATAAATATCACATACACTCGTATTTAGATCATACTCATTATACGTTTTTCTTTTTCTCTCTTGTAAGCTTTAATCTTCAAATGGTACAAGAGTGCGAATTCGCACTGTGAAAATTTTCGAATTACTGGCATTTGCACAGAGACATTTGTCGCGGTTTATCCCCACTACGTTAAATATGCCCGGTACCTCAGGTGACAGGTACGAACATGCACAGCTTCAGTTTCGTGCAGATTAATGAAATATTAATTTCGCAAATTCGTTGTGGTGGATATTCGCACTTGTATTCAAATAGTGTGTGCTAGATCGGTGCCTACTTTTAGCGTTTTACACATTTATAAACATTGTAATATGTTCCTGTTTTTACATTACGTTATAAACATTGTAATACATTCCCTTTTTTTACATTATAATAACAAATAAAACATTTGTATGTATAATCTTATTCCATCTGTTTTCTTTGTCTTAACTTCCATGATAATATGAACAGTACTTTTTAATTATGTAAACGGTTTTTATTAATAATTCACTTTATAAATTGGCAAAATTTGTTTTTAAAATACCTAATTTTCATTAAAATTATTTTTAGAAAGATTTATTAGGAAGATTCAAATTACTAATTAAATGAACAGAAAATATCCCAACTTCTGGCTATGTGAAAAAATATTTTACTTTCTATTTGTGCAACAATAATTTTTTATTAAAATACATCATTTGAACTAAAGAATCATGCAAGAGTTACTTCATTTCATAAAATAACAAAGAAATGGCACTTTTCTTTGAAAAAGTGACGTTTTTAAAAACGGTAGTAGTAGTAGTAGTAGTAGTAGTAATTGTTGTGCGGGTGGTCCTACAAGAGGCCCAGTCACCTAGATCCGTAATGGTACCACTGTAACTCCCGCTTGATTTGACAGGCTCCAAATGGCAGTCTCCCCCCGCTGCCCGACACTGAACCCCCGTTCACCCCCGTGTCAGACATCTGTCCTTCTCAGACCAGCGCTAGACACTAGGCTTTGTTTAGCTCCTGCGCTAGACACTGGTCCTATCTCGAACTTTGCGCCAGACACTAGGCCCCGTTCAGCTCCGTGCCGGACACCAGGTCCATATCACTCCCCGGAACCCCTTTCTACCATTGGGTGTTCTAATTTGGCAGGAATACTCTCGGTGGTTTTGCCGTGCCTTACCGAGGGGTGGCGATCGCATTTCCAGAGATCGTGCTCCGATTTGCGCCGCCAGATGCCGTAGGGCACTGGCCGCGCATAGAGACCCTCAATCAGAGTCAAGCCATA